CCTGACCCATCTTCCTTTCTGAGTACAGGGCTGGCTGCCTCTCCAGCCTCTCCAAGTGGCTAAATGTCTCCTGGTCTGCTGCTCCTGAAGAGCTGGTCTGTTTGACCTTACAACCTCTAACTTCTAAGCACAAGTCCTGGGATGTAGCCATCTGCCTTCTTTTTAAAATTAACTTAAAATTTTTTTTTCATTCCAATCTTTACATAATTTCTCTCTCTTGCCATTTTTTAAAAAATTGAAGTGGAGTCAGTTTACAATGTTGTGTTAGTTTCTGGTGTAGAGCCTCGTGTTTCAGTCTTATACACACATACCTATGTTCGTTTTCATATTCTTTTTCGTCACAGGTTACTACTAAAACTATACTTCAATGACACAAATAACACATGACTAGATTCTGCTTGTGAGAAAATACAACTGGCAAGTCCGGACTAAGTCCCCTCTGAGGCCCCCTCACCCTGCCCTCCTCGCCTCCCGAGCCAATGAGCACGTCACGTGTCTTCGCCTCGTTTCCCTTCTGAGACCCCAAAGGCTCTCCCTGCTGCTGGCTCAGGGTTCCCTCGTGCTCCCTTCACAGCCTCTTGGGCTCAATCCAGAAGAGTCTGGGTCATCGGAACATTTAGATCAAACAACATCACTCCCTGCACCAGTGCTGGGAGGACTCTGCTCGCCACAAGCTGTCCCCTCACACAGGGCCTGGTCACTCTGCCCCGTGTCCTGCTTCTGCACCAACGCCTTCCCCAGTTTCATGTGAATTCAATTTAAAAACATTATCTCACGTGAAATTTCATCAGAAAGTTTCTTGTCCAAACCGTCTGCCCCTTGGAAGAATGATGTGGGTAACTGTGCCTGCTTTTTCCTTCATGGAAGCCACATTCCCTCTCCTTGCAGTGTCTCTCTGGAGGCCTATACCAATTTCTCCAGCCAGGGAGGCAGGTGTGGGTCTGAGCCTCCTGGTCTTGGGGCCTGCTGCAGTGGTGGAAAGAACCCAGACACCTGGGGTGGTCCTGGAAGAGCTCTGAACAAGCCCTGTGAGCTACCTGGCCCAGCATCTTCTTGGCTGCATTGGGGTGACAGTATTTGGCTTAGAGGATTGTTGAAAGCCAGTGAAACATGGGATCCACGGGTCTACGTCTACTTTGGGGCCTGGCTCACTGTGAATAGAACACAAGTAACCCAATTATTTCCATTCTGAGAGCAGGTAGCTCCCCTTCTGCTGACAAGGCCCAGGGCCTCAACAGCATCACCTCCATTTTCTGGTTGGGTTAGTAGAGATATTGGCTGTGGGCACATGCCCGGTAAGGCTAGGGGGCGGGCTGTGGTGCTGAACGGACAGCTCCCTTCCCTTTGGCCTTTGATGGGTAGCGAGTGTCTGCTGAGAGCCTGATTTCATCCCAGGGCAGCCACACTACAGGGTAAAAGGGTGGACAGGGGGGTCTGAGGGCTTCATCTCAGAGCACAGCCCAAGAAAGTGCTGCTCCCAGAAGCTCCACATCTGTGGTGGCCCAGTCAGGATTGTCTCTCTAACAACTGGGCAAATGTCCATGAGAGGGAAAGGGGAGGAAGAAGTAGGTGGAGGGGCAGAGGGAGGCAAGGTCGGGAAGATACACAATGACATAGAATCACAGAGACACAGAAAGATATGAAGAGACATAGTGACAGATGGAGAGCCAGAAAGACAGAAAGATGAACAAAGACACAGAAAGAAAGAGACAAGGGGAGACAAACAGAAACGCCAAGAGAGACAAGGATGGGGAGGGAGGCAGACCGTCTTGGGGGTGGACACAGGGGCTTGGAAACAGGAATGGAGCGAATAGTGCAGGGCAACCTGCAGGGAGGGAGCCCAGGGAAAGGGAGAGTCCACACCTGGGAGGAAGAGCCGGAGAGTCAGCGATGTGGGGACACAAGAGAGCAAGACAAACAGGCTCCCAGAGAGACACATCAGAGGGAGTGGGCAATGGGGTCAGAGGTCGGAGGCCCGGGCAGCCGGGAGGGGGGCCGTGAGTGCGGTGCCACTTGCTCACCTGGCGCCATGCCCACAGCCTACAAGGAGAAGATGAAGGAGCTGTCGGTGCTGTCGCTCATCTGCTCCTGCTTCTACTCACAGCCGCACCCCAACACCATCTACCAGTATGGGGGTGAGTGTGCTGGGCGCTGCTGGCCCCTGCCCTGCTGGCACTTGCCATCACCTGACCTTGCTCCCCCTCCCATGGCAGCCAGGAGCCTCCAGGGAGGCTGGCTTC